TTGTCCAATCAAATAGTTGAACCTGTAAAAGCTAACACTCTATCCGAAACAAAAATGTCACTGTTTACTGAAAACTCTTAAAATAAAGATGCATGAATTGTCATATCTAAATTTTTTTAGTTGAATTTATTTTACTTTTTGATGCTATAAATTTGATCTTACGAGTTAAGGTTCTTCATCATTCTTTCAAAATTGTTTCCACTCAATCACACATTTCTCAGTTCTTTCATGCTTCCATATTATTCACATAATTAGTTCTTTCATATATTTAATATAAGGTATGTATAGTTTCTAAATATTTTGCATCTATTTTGCTCCAAATAGACAGTTATGTGTTCTTTCTGATAGGCATAAATGAATCATTCATGCAATGGAAAATCTAGAGGAGTGGAAAGAGCCATTAGCATACCATCGTTTTTGTCTGAGGCATGACAGAAGTAATCTAATGAAAAGGTACAAGAATGTGAGCCTTAAAAAAATTTGTTGGTCTATGGGTAGCACCACACAAAAAAGGAACTTCGCTAAGTATATAAGGGAAATAAAAGCAATCAACATGGAAGCTTGTCAGTATTTGAGGGAAATTAAAATATGTCAATGATGTCTTTTATATGATGAAAATCATCGATGGGGGCATGGGGTTTCTTAACGACCAATAACTCTGAGAGTATGAACAATGCATTACGAGGAGCGAGACAATTGCCAATTAGGGCGTGTATTGACCTTACATTCAATAGAACTGTGCAACTTTTTAGAAAGCATAGTGCTATTGCAATGAACTGTATTACGCCTCTACCAAAATGTTTGTGGTGTCTATTTCTTAAACGTGACACTCGTGCACAAAGTCATGTTTTATCTGAGTTTCACTATAATGAAGGTGTTTACAGAATTGTCACAAGGTCACAAATAAATGGAACTGGAGGAAATACACAAACTGTTAATTATTTTCAACATATGTGTACTTGTGGTAAGTGGCAAATGGAGAGATTTCCATGTTCACATGCACTTGTAGTTTGTCGGAATAGAGGGGACAACCCTCTTTCTATTGTGAACAATGTGTACACTACTATGACGTACAGACAACAATACAATTTTGGGTTTGTACCACTTCCTCATGTTGATTATTGGTTGGATTCAAACTGGACGATTGAAGCAGATTACTCAAAACTTTCCGTTCATCGAGGACGAAGGCGTGCAAACCGAATTCGTAATGAGATGGACATTCGTCATCCTGATGAACCTCGCAGATGTACACTATGCCACCAACCAGGTCATAATAGAAGAAATTATTCAAATTCTCAACCAATATTCAATGAGTAGTAAACTATGTTTTGGTTGATTGTGTTGTAATTTCATGTTTAGTTGATCTTGTATTTTCTTATGTGATTTTGTACTATAATTTCTGAATTTAAGTAATGTAATATCAATTATGTGTTTTCTTATTTCTTATTATTACAATATTTGATATTAGTATTAATGGAAATATATAAATGAGATATATATGGTATTGAAAACTAATAATCGTTAGTTATAAATTAAATAATATATTTATGCTAAATATTATTAAAATTAAGTAAATGTACAAAGTACAAATAAAAAATATAGTAGGATTTAGTAATAACATATTTCATAAAATAAGGGTCAATGTTGAATATTTTTATGAACTATTTTGTAAATTTAAAATTTACGTAAATTTAATAAGACGTAGTAGTAACATATTTTTACAAAAGATTATAATTATAACATATTTTTATAAGACAAGGGACCAATGCTGTAAGTTATAAGGGTGAACGGAATGGAAAGGCGGGTTGCAAATTTTTTGGGTGGTATCGTCGGGTTACCGTTCCTTCCAAGCAAGCGGTTTAAGTGGGTTTGGAAAAATTAGTTTGAGTGGCTTTTAGAAACCGCAAGAAACTTTATCAATTTGTTTTGTGGGTCATGCATTTCCTTTTTCATTTAATTTTTCAAAGAAAAAAAAACAAGAAGCATAGCATACATATATGCAAACGTGACGTTTTATTTATTTGTTTTTTTTCTACATAAGTTTGTATACATATATATCGAAAGTAGATATATATTACAATTCAAGCAATAATCACTTGTGCATTATGCATCAAAACTTGTACCAAAACAATTTTATATGTTTTTTTAATTATTTTCTAAATTAGTTTGTATATTTTTAATATTATGTAAATTAGTTTTGTATAATTTTTATTAGTTTGTGTTTATTTTAAAATAAAAAATTAAGTGGGTTGAGTGGGTTGAGAAAGATATGATTTCCATGTATTGTGGGTTGAGAAAGATGGAAGAGAGATGAAAGAGAAATGTTGATGTGGCGCTGAAATGACAGTGGGTTGAGTGGGTTGGGAGGGTAGGAGGGATTATAAGTGTTGATATTATATAAATTATGTAAATGTAGAAGAAAAAAATATAAAAGGATATAATTTTAACATATTTTAAAAGGTAAAGGACCAATGTTGTAAGTCTGTGAGGGCTCCTTTCATTTACGTATTGAGTTTGTGGGCTTGAGTTTGTGGGCCAGGAACCCCATTTCTACAACCACAATTAACCATTTCTACAACCACAATTAAAAGAGCTCCATTTCTACAAAGCAATATCAAAACTGGCCCTTTTTTGCAAAAAACTCTCCATATTACTCTAAATAAAACATGAGCCCTAAATAATCTAATAATAATAACGATTGATCTCACACTCGATGAACCGGCTGCTGCTGCGGTTTGTCTCTCGAGATTTGTTATCAGGTAAATCATCGAATTTGTTTTGCATCTTGTTGTTGGTCTTTGGTGCGTGTAAGTCCCGCATCAAACTGGATGCATTAACTACAACGATTAAACTCCAAATTACAAGATTGGTTTTTTTCTTATAAGCTTGGAGTTCTGGGTATCAATCAATGTTTGTGTGTCTTGATTTTCTTTGTACCGAAACGAAGAGAAATTTTGAACATTTTTTGTGGTTTGAAGCAGTTTAAACCTATACTCTTATGTTGTATATTAAGATAAGATGTTGGTTTTTATTATTAATGATTATGTGTTGTTATGGGTTTATAGGATGAGACGAGAGGTAGAAGATGTTCCGGAGTTGATGCATCATATACAATCACTGTTGCCGGTAAAAGAAGCTACCCGCACCAGCTTGTTGTCCAAGTCATGGCTACATGCTTGGTCTACCATCCCTACCCTCAGGTTTTTTATTCTCAAGAAACAAAATGGAAAGAGCATGAAGCTGGTGGATGTGGACCGGACTCTCATAAGGTATCTCCATTTTAACATACCAATCCAAAAGTTTGAGCTTCTTATGGACATTGAGAACCTAGAGTCGGCTTCTCATGCTGAAAAATGGATCAGACCTGTGGCAACCAAAACATGTCTCAGAGAGCTTTCTCTCTCAATCTTAATTTATGGTGCCCCGTTTACATTGCCAGATGAGATACTCTCGGGTGAAAACCTAACTAAGATAAGAGTTTCATCCCCACTGATCCATTCGGTTTGGATGCCAATGCCAACGACTCCTGTGATCAACTGTGTGTCCCTACGGGAACTGCACTTTGATGGTGTGCGCATAAGTGAAGAGGCCCTCCATGACATATTGTCCTCTTGTCGCTTGCTTGTGAAGATAGTGCTTTCACATTCTTGCGAGGGGTTCAAGACCATCAAGGTTAAAAACCTTCCTTGTCTTTACAAATTAAGAATATGTGTGGGTGATGGATATCGATGCTCTACTGCTTTGGAAATCAGTGATGTCCCGAATCTTGGTGTGTTTAGCTGCAATCTACATTTTCCATTCAAAGCCCATTCAATATCATTAGTAAGCAGCGTGACACAGTTAACGTTAGGTGGTAGGGTGATAACTGACAACGCGTGTCTGCACATGATCGAATCGGGATTTCCTTCCCTCGAGAGTTTGACTCTTGATGATATGTCAGCTTGGATGTTGAAAAGCTTCCATTTCGCATGTGCTTCCATCAAGAGATTGACCTTGCAGTTGTGCCCATGCACGCTTATCGAGGTACAAGTACATGCTTCAAAGTTACTTTTTTTCTGCTTTGATGGCGGTGCTTTGCCTGATCTCTTGTTTCCGGTCTCTACTCTCATGCATATCACGGTTTCACTCAGAGTCGACCTTCCTGTTGATGCTTATCTTTTTCTTAAGATGAGGGAAGCACTCGCCTTGTCACTCAAGTGCGATGTTCGTATAACAACTTTCAACTCTGAGCGGCCAATGGACATCGACATGGATGATCTAAGAACACAGCTCCTGTCTCCTCCTGCTACGAATGTGCGAGAACTGTGGTTTGAAACGAGTGAGGATGAATGCATGTGGGAAAGATCCCCATTTCTTGATGCATTTTTTGAGATTTGCCATCCCAAGCACGTATTCGCACAGCCAGACTTGCAATTTAGACACAAGAATCACTTTCTCAGACTGATTCTGAGAGAGGTCTTGGATAAGAAGAAGACCATCACAACTGCTGGAACCCCTTATTGGTCTCATTACCTCAAACACGTTCAAATAAGAGAGGCTCCGGATCAAATATGGAAAACCCTTATAAATTCCTGGAGAAGCTTTTTAGACGACCCCGCTCCTGGTCTCATGCACTTCAAACTAGTGTGGCGTTGACCATCATCATTCATCTCTTGTTGGGTTGGGTTGGATTTTTTGTTTTACTATTTCCTGTTTTAAATTTTATTTATCCTATCTCTTCACAAACATATTTAAACATATAACTATGAATTTTATATTTATTTGATAAGCAAAACGTAAGTACATACCACCTGCCGAATATTGTAACTCTGATTGCATAGATCCATATTTTTTTTTCAGCTAACCAATTTACACCAAGCTTCCTACGCGATCCCTCTCTCTAATGGGGCATTTTTTTTAGCTTATCATGCATAAGGATGTATATCTAGACAATGACTGTGGTTTCCTTCCACCTCAACCTCTATCTCATCGTGACCCACCTCACCAATGGTGTACTGCAACGAGAAGAAGAGAGAGGAACAAGGAAGAAAGATGAAGCCAGAGAAACACAAAAGAAGAGAGTGTGGTCTCTCGTGGAATATACCACATGAAGCCATGATTGTGGCTCCACGTCATCACAACGAAACTTCCGAGGTGGTGTGCACGATGGTTGCTCTTCTCCAACACATCCCCATGAGACCTTTGTATCATGAATACCTCATAGCCTTGCTATTTGAATTTAGGGTTAACTATTTAAGCATAATACTATTTGAATTTAGAAATTTATAATTAGTCACTAACCTTTGTATCATGAATACCTCATAGCCTATGGGTTGTGTAAGGTGCTGTTTGTTTTTTGGAAAAAACATCTTCAGACCTCTTATTGCTGCGCGGCGCACCACACGCACAACACTTTTCATCTTGCAGCTATTTGTTTTTCAGAAGTCTTCGGATTAAAAAACCTTTGCGCGTGTTCTTCTTGGTGCAACACTTGTTTTGCCTCTTCCTACCTATTTCAACCTCATATTTTTCTTTTTTTTTTCTTGCTAAAATAGCGATTATATATTGCTGAAATCTTATTTCACATTTTTTTCGTTTTATTTTGTTTATTCTTGTTGAATTTTTTTTCTTTTTTTTATATTGAATAATAATAATTTGTTGATGAAATA